ATTGTCGAATTGTACTACCCACTGTTTTAATGGGAGGTAGCAAAATCTAACAGGGTAGCACAAATCGACAGAACACCTGGACTCAAACTCGGGATGCCTGAAGCACAACGGCGCTGAATGTCGGTTTTAATGTGTAACACTGTATGTGTTTTACTTGACATATTTATTATGTATCTTATTTGTTACTCACAGTTCTCGATATAAACAGTTTAGAAAACACAAACAAATGCTGATGATGATTAATTTTGTGAAGAAGTGAAGAAGTCAAATCTATATCAAGGACTGACCACATATTTAGCGTGTCCTCTCGCCTCGGTCCCGAGATGCTATACTTGACATATTTATTATGTATCTTATTTGTTACTCCCAGTTCTCGATATGAACAGTTTAGAAAACACAAACAAATGCTGATGATGATTAATTTTGTGAAGAAGTGAAGTCAAATCTATATCAAGGACTGACCACGTATTTAGCGTGTCCTCTCGCCTCGGTCCCGAGATGCTAGGACTGACTCCAGCCCTCCCGCGGCACTAGAGGATGGATTGGATGGACCATAGATAGGCATATTTCACATATTAAAACAAATTGGTAACACAAATCATGGCCAGTCTATGTGTTTATTTTGCAACAGATCACAATCATTGCACAATCTTTTGATATAAAAAGACTTTGAAACTTATGTTTACTCTGCATTTGCCGACTAGGTTAATACCCTCAAATTCATTTTGTCACCCACAATTAGGTTTCCAATACTAGTCCAGTGGAACATGATGTGCTATCAGCTATCACTTTCTCAGTGCAATGTTGCCATCTGAAGGAGATGTAAAGAGAGGCAAATGCAAAGAAATCATGTAATCTTTGGTTTAGTGTAAGTCACTCTGTGTGTTGCCATATCCACCGGAACTTATTACTAGCAGATAGCAGAACAAATGTACAGGTCAATGTGAAGCATGGAAAAATCTAGCAGGGTTAATGGTTTATGCAGGGCGAACAAGTCCATGACCACCAGTAGGGGCGCCAGAAGAAAATACAATGAGATAAAGTTTACTGTGAAAATGCAGAAAGTTTTCTGTTAAAGTTAGGGTTAGTTTAACCTATTTATAACTAGCCAACAGAGGATACTGGCTTTTGCTGGTCATCCATCTGAAGGAGATGTAAAGAGAGGCAAATGCAAAGAAATCATGTAATCTTTGGTTTAGTGTAAGTCACTCTGTGTGTTGCCATATCCACCGGAACTTATTACTAGCAGATAGCAGAACAAATGTACAGGTCAATGTGAAGCATGGAAAAATCTAGCAGGGTTAATGGTTTATGCAGGGCGAACAAGTCCATGACCACCAGTAGGGGCGCCAGAAGAAAATACAATGAGATAAAGTTTACTGTAAAAATGCAGAAAGTTTTCTGTTAAAGTTAGGGTTAGTTTAACCTATTTATAACTAGCCAAAAGAGGATACTGGCTTTTGCTGGTCATCAGTCCGATTTAGGTAATATGGCATTAAAGAGACAAGCTGATGCTGTTCTTCCCCTGAACAAAAGAGAGATACAGTCGAATGTAATTGGTTGTTGTTAATGAACATTGCATTTGCATTTGCAATAAGACATTGCAGTTGCAGTTTTGCCTCCTCTATTTTAATGTGTTACTGAGAAACACATCCACATGGTTATCTCAGTCACACCTAAAATTGGATGTTCTAATCTCTTCCAAGATTGTATACAAAAACAGTATTTTACAAATGTATTTGAAAATAGTTTACTGAAGATGTACGTTTTGCTTTCCTCTTGTTTCGTCTGCAGCAGCAGCAGACACAGACTAAGCAGATGATGAAGAGTATGAGGAGGAAACTTCCTCCCCCTGTCAGGATTACCAGCATCCACCATAAATCCGAGCCAAATAGAAATCTCTTCTCAGACAAATCTAAGAAAGGATACAAATAAAGTGACTTATCAACAATATCATGACCGGCATTCATAATTGTATGAAATGCCAAATTATGCAAAAAACGACTGATGAATTAATTTCAATCTATAACGTAAGAGATCATTTAGATTGAGCCACTCGTTATCACATCATAAACACCTAAAACACCTGATCATCTATTAGTCTAAGTTGAAGGTATTTTATTGTGTGAGGAATGAGACTAATATGTAATTTCAGAGACGTGAAACACGGTGAAGCAGGAAATCAGCTGTGACAACATTTAGCACCATTATTCAAAATATTTCACAGGTCAGAAAAAGTACTGTGTAATATAGTATATGATCGCTTTTGCACAATAATATTTTAACAATAATGATTTTTAAATGAATTTTGTGTAATATGTGTATGTCATTTAATTTGACAAACATTTAAGGTTAATAAAAGGAACTTGATGATGGAAATTCCTCAGTGGCTATTTTGTGGTGGAAACATGGTCATAAGGAACTTTGTGAGGGAAATAGACAAATACCATTTGTATTTTCATTTCCACTGTTGCTGGTCACTTCTATTTCATTGTCTTTATTGGCATTTGTTGCATGTGGACCTTTAAAAATTAGTTTCATCGAAACCAGTGTTGTCATGCAATATGTATGTCAAATGATTTTGATATACTGGACCTGTATCAGAGCACACTGGCTCAACGTTTTTTGCTGAGTTCTTGCTTATTGGGTTGCTGACTGTGCATGAGAAATTATCTCCAGGTTTGAGCTCAGATGAACTGATGTGTAAAACAGCATGTGTCACATTAGCCTTCGTGCCATTTTTCATCCAGGACACAACCACCTCATCATTGTTCACTGCACTACAAGTCAGATTTACTCCTTTTTCTACACATTCAACCAAAACTATAGGTTCAGGCACTGGCTCTGAAATGCACACAACAACAGCAAGTCTTATTGCAGAAACACACTTGGTCTTGCATGACTTTGTGGAGCAAACAGAGAGGAGAGAAATTAGATTTGTTTGAATAGCAGCAGAACACAAGCTAGTATGTACCCAGAACACAGAGCTGTTGTACAGTTTCCTTTCTTAACTTTCCTTCTGCATCATAGATGATGCCCTTGTACTGTCCAGATTTGTCTTTCTGTACGTTCTCCAGTATCAGGGATCCATCTTCACTAACGTTGAGCTTGTTGAGCTTAATTTGTGAGCCTTTTTTCAAATAAACTCTCTGTTTATTATGTGTCCATCTCAGTTCATTGTCCTCTTGTAATTTTGCATCATCAAATGAAATCACAACTTTATCACCTGCAGCTTTGTAGATACATGAAGAGACAAATGTACCTAAAAATAAAGTGGTATAAAAAGTTCAGCAAAAAGTGGACCCAAAGTATCAGTAATACAGTTCAAAAATGTTACCGTGTGTTGCGTTTCAAGCACACAGTACCCTTGACCTGTATATATTGCTGACATGAGATTTAACACATTCGTGGGAAAAAGACTGTGATATGTTTAAACCGTTTTACCCAATGTAATCAATCTTACATGAGAAATATATAACTAAATTATTCATATGAAATTATATTAAATGTAAATGAATATTACATGCAAGCAAACAAAACTGTTTTAAAACAATCTGCTATCCGTATCTAAAATGCAGAAAATAGGTTTATGTTTCTGTTCCACAACTCTGAAGAATGATAAATTAAACTAAAATTCGATCTAAAGGCAAAAACCATGCAGGAGCATTTTTATTTGGTGTATTCATAATTCACTAAGAGGAAAATTTGCCTGTAATCACACAAGTGGCATTCCAGAAAACATATAGGCTATATAACTTAACAACTACTTACCGGGGGGGAACATGAAGATTAACCTGAAGAGAATTAATGTCAAGTTTAGCAGCATTTTCACTCGGGTCTCTGAGTTGCTCTGTTTTAAGATGACAAGCTCAAAGTGGTGTAAGTTCCTGTATGTGCATCTCTGGGAGTGTGTGGGGGGTGAAAGAACACGATTTCACCAAGTAAACATGTTCCTGAATCAACATCCTTGTTGATCCTGGAACAACATTTCATCCAACCAATAAAATCTGAAATATTTGAGAGGTTTACATGTCAAATTTAGGCTTACAACAAGGGTAAGGGGCTTCTACACCATTTTTATTCACCATTTTTCATTCATATATATATATATATATATAGCCGGTCAAAAGTTTGAAAAGCCGGTCAAAAGTAAGATTTTTTAATGTTTTTTAAAGAAGGTTCTTCTGCTCATCAAGGCTGTATCTATTTGATCAAAAATACAGAAAAAACGGTTATTTTGTGAAATATTATTGCAATTTAACCTCTTAAAGGGGTCATATGATGCGATTTCAAGTTTTCCTTTCTCTTTGGAGTGTTACAAGCTGTTCGTGAATAGATAAGATCCCTGAAGTTGCAAAGACTAAAGTCTCAAAACCAAAGAGATATTCTTTATCAAAAAATAATGTGTTTTTTGAACATTAAAGCATGTCAACATATTCTGTTACACCAAATACACAAAATAATGATCTTTAACAAAGCATCATATGACCCCTTTAAGACCCTATACATTTTTTTTAGGAAAAAATTAGTTTTTTCCATGTCTTTACATTGTTTAGAGCGCATAAAAAATTATTAAAAAAAATATATATTAAAAAATATATATTTCATTCATAAGTTATGCTATTTCCTCGGTAGAGGACATCGGGACTCAATTTCTTTAAAAAAATAAAAAGACATGAATGAACATGCACATAGGCAAAAACAATAGATTTTTTAAATCACCAATACATTTTTAGTTTTCAAGATTTTTTTTTTTAATCAAACTTTGTATAAAGATGATTATCAACTATGTTATAACAGAATGATTCAATATACTATTTTTCTTTCTGCAAAATGTGTGTAAAATGGCCATAAACAGGTTTTCTCATTATATACAATGTATCTATAAACTAAATCTAATTTGCATATTAATGTGTTTTTGGGGCAACATGTAACGAAAAAACGAGTGTAATAATGGGAGTAATAATTGACAAGATTTTCATAATAATATATAATATTTCATAGAATATAGAAATATAATTTCTTTCCCTGTTCATTTGTTATGTCTCCCAAAATGCGTAATAAACATGCTTTTAGTCCCGGTGTCCTCATATGAGGACATGTATGAAATCAACATCCTGTTTCGTAACAGAAAGTCATATTTTGATTTGAAACCCCATATATAAATAAACCCCATTTCCTGAGATGTTGATTTATGACACACAGTTTAAAAATTAGTCATATTTAAATGATAATTACAAAATATTATCATATTTCCATAAGAGTGTCACTAAATTAATATCAGACATATTTGAAGACCAAGGAGAGGGAGTGGTCATGGTGAAACA